TATATATATATATATATATATATATATATATATATATATATATATATATAATTTTTTGACACACATATATCATTATATATTTGTATACACACACACACACACATGTATATATATATATATATATATATATATATATATATATATATATATATATATATATATATATATATATATATATATATAATATAAATATATATATATAATATGATATAATATAATATGATAATAAAAATGGACCGTAAAACACGGGCATAATAACCAAAGCTGCCTCTCCGTCTCCAGATGAACTTATGGCTGACGCTCCTGATGGCTGCGACGACCTTGCTCATTGGCCAAGCAGCGGGGAAGCCAGCTGGTTGGTACCGCAGGCCGAACGGGGTCCAGAAGAACAGATACGTTCAGATGGTGAGTTGGCTTTGGTGTGGTTTGGTGTGGTTTTGGGTGTGGTTTGGGTGTGGTTTGGGTGTGGTTTGGGTGTGGTTTGTGTGTGGTTTTGGTGTGGTTTGGGTGTGGTTTGGGTGTGGTTTGGGTGTGGTTTGGGTGTGGTTTGGGTGTGGTTTGGGTGTGGTTTGGGTGTGGTTTGGGTGTGGTTTGGTGTGGTTTGGGTGTGGTTTGGGTGTGGTTTGGGTGTGGTTTGGGTGTGTTTTGGTGTGGTTTGGTGTGGTTTGGGTGTGGTTTGGGTGTGGTTTTGTGTGGTTTGGGTGTGGTTTGGTGTGGTTTGGGTGTGGTTTGGGTGTGGTTTGGGTGTGGTTTTGGTGTGGTTTGGGTGTGGTTTGGTGTGGTTTGGGTGTGGTTTGGGTGTGGTTTGGTGTGGTTTGGGTGTGGTTTGGTGTGGTTTTGGGTGTGGTTTGGTTGTGGTTTGGTGTGGTTTGGTGTGGTTTGGGTGTGGTTTGGGTGTGGTTTGTGTGGTTTGGGTGTGGTTTGGTGTGGTTTGGGTGTGGTTTGGTGTGGTTTGGGTGTGGTTTTGGTGTGGTTTTGGTGTGGTTTGGTGTGGTTTGGGTGTGGTTTGGTGTGGTTTGGTGTGGTTTGGTGTGGTTTGGTGTGGTTTGATGTGGTTGGTGTGGTTGGTGTGGTTTGGTGTGGTTTGGGTGTGGTTTGGTGTGGTTTGGTGTGGTTTGGTGTGGTTTGGTGTGGTTTGGTGTGGTTTGGGTGTGGTTTGGTGTGGTTTGGGTGTGGTTGGTGTGGTTGTGTGTTGTGTTTTGGGTGTGGTTTGGGTGTGGTTTGGGTGTGGTTTGGGTGTGGTTTTGTGTGGTTTGGGTGTGGTTTGGTGTGGTTTGGGTGTGGTTTTGGTGTGGTTTTGGTGTGGTTTGGGGTGGTTTGGGTGTGGTTTGGGTGTGGTTTGGGTGTGGTTTGGGTGTGGTTTGGGTGTGGTTTGGTGTGGTTTGGGTGTGTTTTTGGTGTGGTTTTGGTGTGGTTTGGTGTGGTTTGGGTGTGGTTTGGGTGTGGTTTGGTGTGGTTTGGGTGTGGTTTGGTGTGGTTTGGTGTGCTCTGATGTGCTTTGATGTGGTAAGGACGGTAAGGGTAAGTTTTGTGTTCAGTTTGGCAGCTGGTGGCACTCGTGTGTGGATGTGTGGATATTCGCGTGCATGTGAATTAGATTGATGTAGTGATGTGTGTGTATGTATGTATTTGTATGAATATATATACATATCTATCTATCTATCTATCTATTTATGCACACACACATACGTTTATATATGTATTAATATATGTTTGTTTGTATGTATATGTATTTTAATCTTTGTTTCAGAGAATCTTGGCCCAGAGATACTTAGACTACCTTCAATATATGGAAAGTCTCGGTCATTACGGACACGAATACGGACACGAATACGAACATGGACACGACCATGGACATGGACACGGTCATGAGCTCGACCACGGATCCGGACACGGCCACGCAAACGACCTCGACCACGGATTCGGACATGGTCATGAACTCGAACACGGATCCGAACACGGCCACGGACAGGAGCACGCACATGGCCATGACTGCGTACACAGCCACGGACAGGAGTCTAGTTATTCAAGGTATTATAAACCTAGTTTTACTAAATTAAAACCTTGTTAAACTTATGACGAATAGTTCTAATAGTTCATTAATGATATACGATATATGTTCATTCACGAATAGAACAATCAATATGGAGTGAAAAAATTAATATTAAAATTAACAAGGTTTTCCTTTTTAACTTTTTTTTCACAGCCATTAACGGAAAATCTTGGCAGTAAGGTCGTTTTTACCTTCTCTATCCCGTGTTACTTCATCCTTCTGGTATCTCTCTCACAACAGTCGTATGTATTTGTGTATGTACAGTTGTATTGGATGCTTTACAAATGACATATAAAAACTATAAAATCTGTCTATCGTATCTGGTGATTTTTTTTCTCGATAGATAGATTAGATCCATGATTCTTAACCTTTATTTATTTTTTTATTTTTTTATTACTACCACGTCTCCTTCAAGAATTTCTCTTTCCCTCTAACCCCCCCCCCCGT